TCATTTAGATATGGGGTTTTGGTAATATTGAATGTATTGAAAGAGTACAGCTTAATTTTTTAAAATATATTCTAGGTTTAAAGTACACCAAATGATATGATGTACGGTGCAACTGGTGTTCAACCACTATCTATTGAAATTAAATGTAGAATTACATCATAGTGGCCTGACTTAGTCATACCACGACAGAACAAGTTACCGTGTTTGATATATCGTATTTTGTTAAATAAATTAAATAACTCCCAGACTGTATCTTCAGTTGGATAAAATTTGTTCAGAATATTTTGTATGAATGTGGACTTTATAACATTTGGAATAACCATGAATTTCATAACCATAAATGGTTTAAACAAAAATTATCAGATTTATTTTTAAATGAGTGGTATTCTGGTATTGAGAATTCTAGTAAATGCACATATTATAGATTATTTAAACATAATTTTTGTACATATCTTGTAAAAACTCCATCAAATTTTTTACAATACATGATAAAATTTAGAACAAGAAAGAACAAATTGCCAGTAGAAACCGGAAGTTGGAATAACATCGAACTTAACAGGCGTGTCTATACATTGTGTGAACAGATCCATTGGTGATGAATTTCATTATATTTTTGAGTGTCCGTGTTTTGATACAGCAAGAAACTACAGTTGACTCTCAATAAGTCAAAATCGCTTTACTCAAAATTCCGCGTTAGTCGAAGAATTTCTAAAGTCCCGTCAAATTTCCTTCTTTATCTTTGTATTTTAACTCCGCTTAGGTCAAATTTTGACTTACCGAGACTCCTGTTTAGTCGAAAAGAAAATTTGGTCCCGACAATTAAAGTCCAACATATTTTCATCTCAATTAGTCGAAGTGTGAAAACAGCCGACTGATCAAAGGTCGGCGACATCATGTTGAGATGTTGTCACTCGTGATTCACACGTTTCATAGTAATTTTAATTGCCGGTCATCATGTATTACTAGCACGTCGTGAAAGTGGCTTTAATTGGTTTCAGGACCTAATTGGTTTTAACAGTTAGATAAGTAATTTAAGATTTAATTAATTTAATTGTGCCAGCCTAGGTATCGACGTGTGTTTTCAACGTAAATGACATTTTATAATTAATTTTCCGTCATATTGCATGCATTAATATGTACTTTCGGTTCACGGTATAGTTGCTACTTTCGTTTTCGTCCAATGATCAATTTACTTCAAACGTTAGATAAATTGTTGTTGAAATAAATGTGCTTCCATTGTAATGAATTATCATGGGTGCGTATTAAAAGCATGTGCGTTACTGATCAATACTGACAAACTTTCATTTATGTCATTGCTACGAATGCTTGTGCTTATATTTCACTATGAATACACATGTATTAAATTTTGAATAATATATTTTTGTTCATTTATAATTTGTATTTGAAAGTGATTTACAGTCATTTCAACAGTTAGATATTGCAGCATTGCCGCTATCAACAATAACAAACCTACTTCTTTGCACATTCAATCAGGTACATGTATATACATTTACGAATGTCAACGTAATGGAGGCAGATCCACGTTACTCGAATTCCGTTTCTCTCGAAGTAAAATGCCCAGTCCCTTGGGTTTCGAGTTATCGAGAGTCAACTGTATTTCAAGAAACATAATATACATTATATTGATCTTCTTATGAACACTGATGTTGACCTTCCAGATTACAAAAAAAACTTTGTTTATTTATTAAAGAAATTATATTAACATTCAAATGAGCCAAAAATTGTATAGATTTAATGTTGTGGAGAACTCTATCGAAGTATTTTTTGTAATACTGCCTCTCCCGCAATATTTATGTTAACACTTCATATATCATGTTATTTTGATACTGTCTAATTCTGAAACCTCATTTATTATGTACATGTAATTGTATTATTACCTCATGTTGTCATGTTTGCATGATCTGAGTGAATAAATGAATTGAAAGAAACCTGAAATTGAAATAAAATTTGAATTACTAATGAAAAAGTCGTCTAATGATACCTTGAACAGAGGACTTTTCACCATTGAATTATTAGCTCCGCTAATTTTGTACATCTGCTATAAAATCAAGTCACGATTTAAGTACTTACCACTTAATTCATCCCATAATTTTACTGGGTGACATTACTTATTATCACGTCTTTAAAAGCCTAAAAGTACGCTAAAATGTAGTCAATCGCTACTACGCCTTTGTCATACGCAGAATGCGCATGCGCGAAATGCAACATCCGTTGCTTTGGAAAAATCGCACTGTTAAAAGGTCTATACTTGCATAAAGTAAATATATTTATACTATTAATGGTATACAAGATTGATACACTTACTTTTGATTGACAATTCTTTAAATATATCAACAGCAGAAAAATAATCTGGAATGATCATATTGAAAAATAACTGGCCTTTAATGACTCAACCGTTTTACAACCACATGAGTGAAAGATAACCTGCCAAAAAACAATACTCCTTGTAGATGACTAGATATTGTTTTACTGTTACTATTTTTTTAAATCCTTATTCACAAAACAATAATCAATTTATACAGTCTAAAGGATCATAAACCGAATGAAACACGATCCGTAGTGTTAAATGTAACGTACATGAAAAGGACATTTTCCGAGTTTTTCTTTTACCGATTTGTTCTAGATGTTAAATTTTCGTTTAAATAAAATCATATTTTGAAGCGGAGCAATCATCCTCAACAAAGTTTGTAGACTGGTTTTAGTGTAATTGAGATTCATTAACTACAATTTGATACGCAAAAATGGATGCCACCAGCAATCATCCTCAACACTGGAGTGGTCTGATGACTTCTCCAATAATCGGCGAGGTGTTCCGAAGTTAAAGTTAAACATTACTTCTTTATTTTATTATTTTCATGTTTTCTAGATTTCAAATTAAACATTTTATTCAATGCAAGTTGGACTTGTCGAAAGCGAAATGATCATAACTAAAATTAGATATAGCAAATCTTGAAAATCTTTCAAAGAGCTTGAAGAAAGAGGAATCTGCGTGAACGTTTTAAAATTCTTTAAAGTGGTAAAGTATCAAAAGTAATTGCACAATTTTTCTTATCATTATACATCGACACTGCTTTTAATACGATTGCTGCTAATCGACTTCAGGGTATAAACGAATGAATGTTCGTATGAACAGAAATATCACATGTCCTGTTATGCTGATGAAGATTGTTCTAAAACAAACGATTGTTGGATAGATTTATTAGAGACCGGACTGCCTACTTAAAGAAACGTCGAGAAATAATCTGACAGAATACGTGGAAGTGAGTGATTAGTGATTTCATAGACAAATATTATTATTTCGATATATTTTGAACTGTTTTAGGGGATAGAGCATTGAAGTAACCTTTTATGATAAAAAGTAGCAACTACACGAATAATGTGTATGAGGTTTTGACGGTTATTTCGCTAGAACGGTTAGAATAAGTCATATTCTTTAATAAATATGTCAATCGGGCATTTCAGTAACATTTAAGTATCTTTATTATTAATAAGATCAAATTTCACACCTCAACATCTACGAAACTAATCAGAAAAATATAAATATGAACATTTTATTTCGAGATAAATAATAAATACATGTAAATAGCATTGTGCAATACCCTCTATACATGCATGAGCTTACACTATAATTGTTTTAGCTTTATTATCATCATGATTAATATATATTATAAACAATAAAGCAATAAAAGATAATGCATATACACGAAAACGGAACACACTTCAATTGAATATTATTAAATAGCAATTTTCCGCCCCTTATATTTTTTAACAGAGATGTCCGCCCTCCAAACTCTTTATGGGCAAACGTCTAACCTTGTAAAATATCAGAAGGGGCAAATGCCCGCAACAGAAAAATAGGGGGACACGGGGCAAATGCCCACAATAGAAAAATAAGGGGGCATGGGGCAAATATCCTAGAATCGCAAATATATTTTGCGACTTAATAACAGTATACCAATGCTGATCATATAAAACAAGCGGTATATTTTTATGAAATACATGTACACTGTACTTTTAAAGCTGTATGCTTCCAAATGACCCAAACTGTGTTAAGAGAAATTACGTTTAGAAAAATGTTTTAAAATTTTTAGAAAAAGTAAAGAAAGATTTAATATTTAAGTAGTAGCGAGCTCGACGAGCTGGCCCGAAGGGCCTGCTCGCAAAGCGAGCTTTACGGTAACGCGAGTACCTGCTAAGTGATGGTTTTGAAAACTTTCGTCCGAAGTACCGAATTAGACACATCGCAACCTTTCGAATTTAAAGATAACGATAAACACTGAGGAATTCTGACTGAAAACGGATGTGTAGACTGGTCACCCGCGCACGTCTATGGGAATCATAATTGGCAAACTCCTCACAGTGATTACCTCCCTTGGCAGAATTGTACGCCGAAGAATTAAGGGGAGATCACTGTGTGGAGATTGCATAATTGGACGGAAGCTGTGTATAAAATATCGAATTGAAGGCGCCATTTTGTTTGGAAAAATCTGATAAATAAAAACAATTTTTTGTCGAATTTTGTTGTGAAAACTATCTAGAATGAAAGAAAATAGTCTAACTAAGAAAATGAATCCGAACACCAATATCTTTTATTCAGTCGTTAACGCTGTACAGACGTTTAAAGTATTGTTTACGTGACGTCACAATGTAGCGCCAAACAGCACGTGCAAAACAAACAAATCAAGTACGCTATTTTAATGTCGCAAATGTTTAAAGTTTTACATTTATTTTACTTTTAATGATCTTTATTTCGCTTGAAAAATTATAGAGTGAAATAAAATAAACAAAGTTTTATCAACGTTTTCAAAACTCGTTATTCATTTAACGACAGGGGCGGAGCCATATTTAACACAGTACATGTAACGTCACACGAACTCGTCACTGCATTTGAAATAAAAATGAGCGATTATTTCATACTATTTCACGTTAAAAGTACAACAAGCTCGCTTTGAGGCTTTGCCTTTTTCATATAATGTACATGTTGTGTGCGAATAAGGAGTATGATTTTGCAGTATTAATCATTATACGGGGAAGTCAAAGTCCGGGCCCGCAAAGCAGGCCCGGGCTTTGGCTTGCCCGGCTATAGACTACACGTGTATATTTAAAAAGAAAATCAAATAAAAAAACAATTAAAAAATATATAGAATTCTATACCTATCAATGAAATTTTCAGTGTCAGTTCTAGTAAGGCGCCGCCATTTACAATGTAAGTCAATGATAAAAGGCGGTGTATTCCGATAACGGAACAAATCTCAACTTTTCGGATTAATAATAATCGTCGAGTGTTCCGAGTGAAAACGGAAGCGGATAATATAATAACGAATGACACCTTTAAAACGGAAAAAATGAAAGGATTATTTAACGACTTCCCCGTTCATAGGCTTTGCCTAATTTCATATTATTTCTACTGCGTGACTAACGCAGAAAGGACTATTTTTGCTTAATTTGACCTCTCTGTTTTGGTAATTTACGTGGATTGCAATTGCTGTTTGCAATGTGTAAATAATTTCCTTCGTTCACTTCACAATTCTTTACTTTTATATACATAAATCAAGTAAATTAAAAACCAAGTGCTATTTAAAGATGACATTTTCAAATATAACACTTACATCGATATAAATCCTTTTGCTGGATACGTGTACTAGTAAATTGTTTTGTTTTTTAGCCAAAATAGTGAAAGCAATACCCTCATTTGAGATGGAAGCTGTAATAGAATATTTTGATTTACTAAATCTGAAGTAAATTCTCCTATTACTATCAATAACACCTTGTAACGTTAAAGAAATTCATTCTGCAAAAAGAACGGAAATGAAATTCGGTGAATGATCGACAGAGCATTTTATGATACAGGTATTCGCAATTTTTGGATGTCCGTTCTAATCCTAATCTTCTTCCGGTTCTTCCTCTTCCGGTTCTTCTTCTTCCGGTTCTTCCTCTTCCGGTTCTTCTTCTTCCGGTTCTTCTTCCTCCGGTTCTTCCTCCTCTTCCGGTTCTTCACATTCTTCTTCCGGTTCTTCACACTCTTCTTCCGGTTCCGGTTCTCCTTCTTCTCCCTCTTCTGCTTCGACGTCTTCTCCCTCTTCTTGTTCCTCCTCAGATTCATGTTCTTCTGATCCCTCTCCACTAGAACCACTGCTTTCATCACTGCTTCCACTGCTTCCACTTTTTACTTTAATCTTCATTTTGATTTTCATTTTCTTTCCTTTTTTATGCTTTTTTTCCTTTTTTGGTTTGTAATCTTTAATCTTCTCTTCGCTGATTGACATCTGCTTCATCTTCATTACAGCAGACACGTCTGTCTCTTTACAAATAGCAAGGAGCAATTTCTTATAGTCACCGCTTGTGTCACCCTTAATAAAACTTTCTAATGGTTTGCCGTACATTTTCAGAAATTCGTACTTGACTTGTTCCATGTCCAACTGGAAAAGTAAAAAAAGTAAATTCAGAAGTGTCACATTTCTTTTATTTATTAGGAATTATATCTCTATTTTAAATGCAGTGTGGTATCACATTGCAATTAGTATGATATATTCACATACAATGATATAATTACGAAGGCCATACGTACATATACTTTGTCGTTAAAAAAACGCATTCTTCCGGTATTTATGTATAAAAAATTCCGCTAAATAAGTAGGCTATGTAATGGTTTGGTTGATGCTAAATAACTAAATTTGTCATCGGTATATATAATTGGTTTGATACATAATCAGATACTCTAGTGGTAATACCTCTCTTCTAGTTACTACAAGGCGTATCAGATCATTGTCTTTCGTTCCAATACCTTCCAAACTTTTATAAAATCTCTCTGCGAAATATGCCGGAGTATTACGAACAATTCGCACTGAAACGAAAGAAAACCAAAAAAAAAAAGAAATGTTTTTCACTACATGTATTTAAGATAAGAGATAATAAAATTTACTTCTTTTTGAGATAACATTTCAATAGCAATCAATTTTAGAAAAAAAATCATATTTCTAGTAATTAGCTTCACGATCAAAGAATCGTTACTCAAATTTCTTTAAGGCATTCCTCAAGGAAGTGAGATACTTTTGCATTTAAATGAATTTCATGATGATTCCTATGTAAAACAAAATACATGTTATCCCTCTACATAAAGTGTATGCTTTCTTTCTCAGGAAGATTGTTGCTAATTTTGAAATAACTACGTTCAAAATAACAATTAGACAACAGCAAAGTTTAATGTATTGCTGAACGGATTAGTTATTGTTACCTATGGAAACAAGTCCATCTTGTATTGCTCCACTAAACTCCTTCTTAATCACTTGCTCGATGTCCTTCCCGTAAATAGCCTGGTACGCATTGAATGTTGCTATTAACTGTAAGTGATTCCTTGTACAAAATATTCGGTTGAAAGTTGATTCATCGGTACCTACTTTGCCAACACCTGCCTTATAAAGGTAATTTAAAATATGTGGTTTAAAATATGTGGTTTGCGTATATGTAAAATGTTAATATTAAGATGTAAATTCTTTTAATAAACTGATTTGTAACATTAAAAATGGTATGATTAATTGTAATTATGAACATTCAAAATAATGATGCGATAAGTTTGATTACTAAGGGAGATAACTAGTTGTTAAAATGCATTTGTAAGCAGCTATGAGTTATGTTATGAAGGAGGAAACTATCAAAAGCTGTCTATACAACGTGTTGTTTCTCCTATACTCAACATTGATTAGACCTAACGTTTACACTGGAAGTGTTGACAAATTTTGAATTTTTGAATTTAAATGGACTCAACTAAGGTTTTTGTACATAAGGGGACTTGGTAAATTTTAAAGATTTCTGTATTATTTGATTTAGGTCTATTTAAATTTAGAAATACACTCCGTTTTTCTAAAATAATTATTACTATTGTGAACATTGACCTTAAAATGTGAAGAGTTTAAACGTTTTTTTTTTTTTACAAACTCTAAAATTACTTCCAACCAGTACATGTCTTAAAATTTTATATAAATCATAGATAAATTGAAAAAGTCAACACACACTTTTAATCTTCAAAATTTTTTAAACCTTATATAATTCCTGTGCTTCCGTAATCGCCAGGTCCTCATCAATTTCTTCACTCTCATCTCTAAATGCAGTCAATATTGAGACAAGTAAACGTCGAAAATGTCCGCTTGTGTCACCCATTAGATCCTTTTCCAGATCGGACTTAAATTCTGTAAAATAAAACTGAACATTATTGACAGTGTCTGTTTCTGCATTTACATCACATTATCGAACTAAATTAGAAGTAAATGACAAAACATATAATGTACTATATCAAAACTATCAGAAAGCAAGAAAGGTTATGTCCGTTATTTTACTGTTTATGTACATGCATATATCACATCCAATTATTTTCTTTGACATTTGAGCCGCGTCACGACAAAACCAACATAGTGGGTTTGCGACCAGCATGGATCCAGACCAGCCTTCGCATCCGCGCAGTCTGATCAGGATCCATGCTGTTCGCTATCATTCTATACTTGTTATAGGATTTGTAAGCGAACAGTATGGATCCTGATCAGACTGCGCGGATGCGCAGGCTGGTCTGGATCCTCGTGGTCGCAAACCCATTATGTTGGTTTTGTCATGGCACCGCTCATTTCTTTGTGTCATTAAGTAAAACACAAACTTCCCATTATAAATATATTTTACAGCTTCATTCATTCCTACATTCAATATATTTTTCTTGTAAATATGACGAACTTTTGGAAATGGGAGATTTTAATAGGCAACAAAGAGTGTTTATTAACTTACGTTTCTTGTATTCTTCTTTACGCTCTTCTATTTCATTATTGTCACTTGTCAATAATATTTCAAGAATCGTCTTTTCGTCTGTTCCCAAACCCTGAAAAAACATTTTAAACATTTATCATTACAATAGATATTTACATATTTCTCTTTGCATTTCCAGGTTATTATTAATTAATTTGATTCATTAAATGAATGGTGAAAGTCCATTAATTTAATGATATCAGTTGATATTAAATGAATTAATAACAGTTGATAAAAAATATTCATCCCTTGAGATATCTTAGTTGCTTTGATTTTCCATATCAGGGGTAATGCCAAAGAGATTTATCAACAATCAGGCATACATTAAATTACAAATAATGCATCATAATATGGAAAACCGTTATGATCCTGCAATATTTTCATTTTTGCCGTGTTGGCCTTTCCCTAGGGCTTCTAATTACATATTATATGCAAGAAATGTTTTGGACCTTTCAGACTTTGATGACTAGTCCGCGTTGCTAATACATGCATATTGCAAGTTTTTTGTTTATAATACATGAAACACGGTTTCTGTTTATGTCCTCTGTAAATACTATAGTACATGTATTGCAATTTGATAATAATTTTTTAAACAAACGTTTATGGAATAATGCGAATAATACTTTACAAAAAGACAATCAATCTTTGGAACAGGTTATAAAAAAATAATTAAGAGACTCAATTCTACCTTGATTGCACCATGGATTTCTTTCACATCGTAGACTAGATGGTCCTCGAGCAGAGCCAGTACAAGCTTTTGAAAGTTGCCACTTATCTCCGACTTAATGTTTTTTATCAAGTCCTGTAGAAAGAAGGATATTACACATATAGACGGATTTAAAGAACAAAACATTTTCATAACAAAAAATTCAATGTTATTTATGAAAAAGCATTTTATTTTGTAAAAAAAAACAAGCAACCAGAAATGAGCCGTGTCACGACAAAACCAATAAAGGCGTTTGAGACCAGCATGGATCCAGACTAGCCTGCGCATCCACGCATCCATGCTGTTCGCTATCAGTTTCTCTTCTTGTAATAGGGTTGGTAAGCGAACAGCATGGATCCTGATCAGACTGCGGATCCATGCTGGTCGCAAACCCATAATGTTGGTTTTGTCATGACACGGCTCAAATGGAGTCTGCAACAAAGGGTGTCCATTTCATATTAACATCATCGTCGGAACCCAAGGTACACATTCCATATATACATTTAATACTGGTATATGTTACCGAGGCTCAAAAGTAAAATGAAAAAGCAAATAAGAACATACTACACGGCTCGTATTAAATGAAAAAAAAAAAAACAATGAAAAAAAACCCCAAAGCATTGTATTGGTGTTGTGAATAATATTTCCATTGAGTGTGTTCAGTATCCACACCATAATTATTTTACTATATGAACAATAATCTCTTAAAGAATCAGACAAAGCATTTACATCATTATCATGATAAAACAAAATATGGTTGATCAGTCTGATGACATCTTTAAATTGACGAAGTCAATAGAAAATTCAAATACATGCATATCTGTTAATTTGTCCACGAAACAATTTATTTCAATTTGTAAGAATCGTTTTTCAACACATTAATTCCTCTCTTAGATATACTATATATACTACCTTTCCATATTGCTGTTTAAAGGCTAGAATTATTTCTGCTAACTGGTCCGAAGAATGCGTTGACATAACTTCTATAATTGCATCTTCGTCTGTCCCTGACATTGATATAGAACTAATATTGAAACTTGTGACAAAATCAAAGCATTATATCAAACAGTAAAGGTTTCGGTCAGCCTCTGATCTGTCATATTTATATACTTAAAAATATTGTCGTTCAGAAAGTCAAATGTATTGACAAATAATTTAATGGAACAAAAATAGTTGCATGTCAGGTTGTTGCTGCTTCATGGCAATTAACATCGGCTTTATTAAAAAAAATTATACGTTTTTGGGGAGGCTATGCCGACCCAATGTTAATAACTGTCTGTCAAATCTTACTGCCGCGGTAATCAGGTCAAAAAATAGTACCTTGATTTTTTCTAAGCTGACTCATCACTCATCACAGACATTTACAATATGAAAATATTTTCATTCTTTAATTTCATATCTGCAATTTGTAAAGATAATAATTCTCTGAAAAATTCTTGATTTTTGTTTAAATCACTACTCCGTGACGTCATACTGCCACGGTAATCAGGTCAAAAAATAGTACCTTGATTTTTTCTAAGCTGACTCATCACTCATCACAGACATTTACAATATTAAAATATTTTCATTCTTTAATTTCATATATCTGCAATTTGTAAAGATAATAATTCTCTGAAAAATTCTTGATTTTTTTGTTTAAATCACTACTCCGTGACGTCATACTGCCGCGGTAATCAGGTTTAGGCATATTACGTACGTCTATATTAAATAGTTCTGGTATGAAAACCCTTCAAAATAATAACTTTATCCATATTTTTTTAACAAAAAGCATAAATGAAAATTTAAAAGTAAATGCTTTAATTCAGTGGCAAATATTCTTTATTATTTTTGATAACAATTTTCCAATTACTACGCAGCGACCAACTGTTTATGACGGGTCATTAACTAGAACGTTGCAACTACGTATTCTCAATATCATGCATGTGCTTTTGTTGTTAAAACTATTAATAGTCCTTAATATTTTTTAAAGACAAATAATTGTAAACTGTCGCTTACATCAGAGACATGGATCATGCTTGCGTGATAACTAAGGAAAACTAACTTATTTGTACACCCCAGGAGGCTGTACGCGGAAAACGCTCATAAACCGCTAAATCATATAGCTGTTTAGTAAATATTTTGCATACATTTAACTAAATTCACTGATGGTGATGAACATATAGTTTTAAAACATTTTATTCTTTAACCATTATCGCCGAAAAAAAAAAACTATTTAACTACAAAACCCCTAAGGACCTCCGACAAAATCCCAGCACAATATTACATTTTACATTAGCAAAATAAAAAAAGCAATACTTATATTTTCATCTTACATAATTCATTAATCAAACTTTTAACATAAAAGTATCTTTGGTAATTGACAGATCCCTACTCTGATCTTTTATTTGTATAGGAATAAATTTAAACATGTGCTCTTTTGTTTAGGAATATTTTGTAGTGAAAGTCTTATATATTCACTAATCTCATAATTAGAATTAGACAGGTCAGGAATTTATACAAACAGTTGTTTAGTTAACTATGCTCATTTTAATCCCAATAGAAACATTCAAATATTTGTGGTAAAAAACATGACCAAAGTACCTAGTAGTCGTTTACCCGGTGGTGATCCCATTAAACTGATTATAGATTCGAATTGATTAGAAAACACAAATAGAAACATGTGTTTCCGTACAACAAAATCGGAAGTAAAGTGAACAGTTAATTGACAGAAATATGTGATCAAGGAAATAAGTATTTCAGAGAAAGACGCAAAGATCAGTATGACCCCCGTATTGTGTAATTAGAAAGTTTATTCAATTCTAGGGCATACATCATAATTTGATAGTCCATTTGTAATAAAATTCAAATTTTCAATAAAGATTATGAGATACATAAAAAATATTAAAGAATAAAGAAGCTTTAATTAAAAAACAAAAAAAAAAAAACAAAAACAAAAAAAAAAAAACCGCATACATATACAAATTACTTACGTCGAGCATCGGGAAGTCATTAACATATCTTACGAAACTTTAATTTGAAACCGATATTTGCTCGCGCTGAAGTGATAAATGTTTATTTGAAAAATAAAAAAAAAGAACTTTTATGGTTGTGTTCTAAAAATAATGGGCGGCATAAGAGGAATTTCTTATTCATTTTACAACACTTGAAAAATTACTACAGAAAATGTGATGTTGTTTTGTTTTTTCAACAAAAAGTGTTGTGTTTTTAAGTTTATATTTATACTCGGCGCCGGAATAACCATATGTCCGAGATTATAGCATCTGGACGTCTTTTTCAAGCAGATTCTTCCTGGAAGCCCATTCTTCGTTCTTTGGTGGTAAAGGAGACGACAATACCGTCAAGGCATCAACTTTCTGACTGACGACAACAAAAACGGCATCTATTAGCGCCAAACCTCCAGAGTAAGTCACGGACACGTCAAACCAATCACCTCTGGTACTTATGATGACTTGACTATGACCTTCCGTGTTGCCTTCTCCGCGACGTGCACGCCTCTGGAGGTATTTGGAGAAGTTTCAACAAAAAACTTCCAAACACGCCATTTATAACACCATTCATAGCACTGACGGCTTTCGATGTTCTCATCTATTTGCGGAAATGGTCGACAGGGAAAACCCTACGTAATAACCGCACACCCTGTTAACAACAGATTTTTCCGCAGTATATATTTCAAGCTAGTGAGGTTTAAAAATACACGTAGAATCTATCGATTAACTACCATAAGTTGGTTGAGTGTTGAGTGTTGGCGGTAAAAAAAAAGAAGATATAACTTCCTGATCAATTTTCACTTAGGTTGATTCAGTTTTGAATAAGCTTTGCAGAGATGTATTTTTTCAAGAAATATTTAGCTTTAATATTATCCGACGCCGTCAGTAATGAAATGGGATTAATTTTCTGAAACGTGATTTTATTCGAGATTTGCTTCTGAAGAAGACAACCTTCTGTCCGTAGAGCATGAATGTTAATACTCATCACAAAGACAGTATCTTATTGATCTCAATTATGGTACATCTAAACGTGTATAATTTTTTATGTTCAATAAAAATGTTGCATCACTGCAGTTGTTATTATCATTCAATAATATTAAAATGACATAAAATATTTATGATGAACAGTCCTAGAATATTTTGATAAGGAACCGTCAGTTGTAAAATGTTATTGTTATCTGATAATGAACAGTCGTCATACTTGCTGGTATGTCATTTATTATTGACAGTTTAGGTTTTTCAAAATTTGCATGATTAACAGTCCGAATGTAGACCTTAATTAAATGTTCTGGAATATTTACAAAATGAATAGTCAACCTCATTAACCATATATATGAATGGTTGAACACAACAGTAAGGATAAATAGCGCAATGTGCATATCTTTTTATTTTGGTAGCATATTTAAAGCAAAAAGAAAAAAACTATAAGTCTGAAACATTCTCTCATAGCCTCCCCATCAGTACATTCAGTGCTTTGATTTATGATAGGGGAACAACTTCCTTACCAAACCCTTTCATTGCCTTTCTTAACGTAGCAGCGGATTCTTCTGGGTCAAACGGTTCACGTCTAAACACAGTTCCCTGGAATATAGAAATGGCAGGTATAACATAACTGTTTGAAATCCAAATATTTCAGTGGATCACAAATCTATATTCTGCACAAGACCCAATCCCTTGTCGTTTGTATTCATCCGGAAATGTATATGAGCCGTGTCATGACAAAACCAACATAATGGGAATGCGACCAGCATGGATCCAGACCAGCCTGCGCATCCGCGCAGTCTGATCAGGATCCATGCTGTTCGCTATCAGTTTATCTACTTGTTATAGGGTTTGTAAGCGAACAACATGGATCCTGATCAGACTGCGCGGATGCGCAGGCTGGTCTGGATCCATGCTGGTCGCAAACGCAATACGTTGGTTTTGTCGTGATGCGGCTCAAATGTAGATGTACAAACAACGGATGCTCCCACACTCAACTGTTTTGTCAGTTAACTGACGGACAGCAGGACACAGAGGGACAGACAAAGAAAATTCTGCATCGACTCCCCATACCTTTTAGTGGTTGGGGGAAAAAAGACATCTTATCTTTCCAATGTTGACATTTTGATTTTTTCTAATATTAAGATTTTCAAATCTCAATTTTATATCCTAAAGTATGCTTAAAAGAAAATAAAAATAAGTAAACTCAAGATACAACTACATATGTTTACCAACATTCCTGTAAAATTTCATGACTCTAGGTCAAATACTTTTTGAGCTACGCAAGACACATGTTGAAAAATGCAAATGTATACCGTCAAGGGCAATTACTCTAACAAAACTGAATAAATCCACAAGCAAATTCCCACGTACACAACTTCACATGCTTATCAACATTCCTGCTCTAGGTCAAGTACTTTTAGAGAACACGTGACACAAATTTGGAAAGGTTTTTTTTTAATTTAAAGGGGAATTTCTCACAAAATTAATAAATTACAAAAAACCCCGAAGTCAATTTCCATTAGATAAACATTTATAAACTAGTCACTTTTGGAGGAAGGGGGTTAAAGCGCGACACATTGAAAATTTATTTTTTTTTTTAAAATAAGGGGAATAACCACATAAATCCAAACAAATCCCAGGGGAAGACAACATAAAAATTATGCCACCAAAATTCCTGTAAAGTTTCATGACTCAAGGTGAAATACTTTGAGCTTTGCAGCAACACAAGTTGAAAATAGCAATTTTTCAAGGGCAATAACTCTAACAAAACTGATTTATTCCACGCGCAAAACCAAAGGTGCACAGCATCGCACGCTGATCAACATTCCTGTTAAGTAAGTTGACTCTAGCTCAAGCACTTTTAGACCTAGATTTGTCACAACATGAGCACGCACGGACGCACGGATGGACAAGTGCAAATCTAAATTTACCCCCACAGAAAGTGGGGGTATATATATACAAGATAAATACAGTGATTAATTATCGCTTTAAATTGCCCATATATAGAATTTACTAAGATATGGTTAGTAAATAAAATTTGAATACGATTTCCATTTCTATAATACTGATTGTCTAATTATTACATACTGGAGTTTATATAAATGTTGTTTACATAACTTACAATTATAATATCTGTACAACTAATAAGAACAATGCAGTATGTTATTAATATAGGACTCTTATTTTCTTTTTTTAAAATATATCGTAACTGTGCTCGGAATATAACAGATAAACATATGAAATTAAGGCTGGAGACATGGGACTATTAGACATGTTCGCTTTTTTTCTCGACCTGTTCTGTTCTCGCTTGAATGTCGTCGGTATGTGAATATCTAAAGAATTAATGTGTAGGTCCTGTTGGATAGTCTAACATCATATTTAACTACTAAAGTTCACACAAAAACTTACCACAAATTATGTCTTATTCCTAATGCGTGTGTGTTATTTAGGAGCTGATTTTAATCAGATTGTATCGAGATGTAATATTGTTAGAAATTTCTATGAATTGTCTGACAACATTTGACTAGAACAGTGCTGCAATAGGTAACATTTCATATAAATACGCACTCATATGTAAATTGAAACAGGGTCAGATTAAAGAAATTCGATCCCGTGTTGATGCCTACATAAGGGTATATAGTAAAGTCAAAATGTTTACATTTTTGCCTCTATTATTTTTTTCAAATTTACTTCGCATGAACGATAAATACCTCACATGGTCCAATGAAATTTCTGTAAATATCCATCGGAAATATTAACCTGGAATATTCAATTGAAAAAAAAAGAGTGGGGCAGTCTTTTTACATTTTGGGCAGACATATTTTATCTTAAACATTTTCTTATATCAAGTGTTGGACAATCACCATTATAACAATTAATCTTTTGAAATATATAGTCGATTAAGCTCAACTTGACAACGAAAAAAGGCCTATAACTTATAATCGTATAACTTAAAGCATATAAATTTAGAAGGTTTAAATATGGAGATAAGCAAATTAGCTCTGAGGCACAATTTAACTACAAATTAATGCGTGTCCGTTAAACACATAACTATGCAGTCTAAATTATGGTTAAGATGTTTAAATTATGTTTCATTTGAAGCCGACAACTTTACACCACAGGCATTCATATGTATACTGAATATTATGAATTGTAATACTTTGTGCATTATTTCTTTATTTTTTATTCGCGTTGCAATTTTCCATCGAGACACAACACCAAGATCAAACGGGAGACCACACAGATGATGGTCGATACGAATGTAATATGTTGATAATGCTTTAAGCCAACACAATTAACCTGCGCAAATTACAGTAATGTATCTTCTGTGTAAATAGTTGAGAGACGTATATTACAAGGGCCTAATTACATTAACTTTTGTAACGCAAAGACATCAAATATCGTGTAGCTATATACTCGTACTACATGTAGTAAGTAAAATAAAAGATAAAAACAGCAGTATTGATTATCGATACAAGATGCATAAACAAATATAATTTACTACAAAAATCGAAGTTTATATCGAAATTCTTACCTGATATTCATCGTAATATTCATTATATTCCGCCATTATATGTTTAGTAAATCTAATTATACATTTTAAGGTAGATACTCATTTGTAAAAACACACAATTTGCCCTCAGCTAACGCTAACTTTCCACACGAGTAGACGCCAAATATGTAGACTCAATGTAACATGATCTGCTGTTTTCTTGATGTTGTTATTGTTGTTTTTATTTGTAAAGGTGGGTGAAAGGTGATGCTAAATTCAGTGACCCGCTAACTTTGTTATGGATTTGCCGGAGCAGACGATAGCATAAGCCTATTAAATTATAACGCAAGTCTTTCGCCATAGCCGCAAAATTTGAAAATAACGTAAATAACGTCTGCAGACGGCATCGCTACATGAGCCGCGTCATGACAAAACCAACATAATGGGTTTGCGACCAGCATGGATCCAGACCAGCCTGCGCATCCGCGCAGTCTGATCAGGATCCATGCCTACTTGTTATAGGTTTTATATTTCATAAGACTGCTTATCAATAAGGTTGAACATGTGAATCAAAATAACTATCGTTGTAAAAGTGTAGATCTCATTCTCAACCATTTAATGAGGAATGAAATAAAACGAGTCGTTTATCCGCACGATAAAGTATTTTGCGGCTTAAACGCTTTAAATAACAATTGCCCTTAAGAAAAATATAATCTTTTTTCACATACATAACATACATCTTATTTATGGTTCAAATAAAATGGGCCTTAATAAAATGTCCCAATAACTCATGCACGTTAGATTACAACGACCAATAATTCATTCAAAAACGTGGTAGGCTAATTTCTCACACACATTCATGTTCACCTAACTTTAGATTATATCAACATTAATGTGTCAGGTACCGAATGTACGATCATAACACTTAATTTCAATGATAATGATCATCAAATTGAAATTATGTTGATATATTCTAAATTTGCTTTAGTTAATTGGCTCATTCACATGATGCGTTACATGAGTAGTCTTATATAATTATTATATGTAAGTTGGTAACGTTCTGTTTGAGAAAGCGGTATTTATCGGGTATTTAACACCGGTTTGGAGTTTTAGGAAATGACCACGAAGTCAACTAGTATTGATTAAGCCTGTGGCGCTAGTGTATGTGAAATGTTATTTTAGTATCATGTAAAAAAATTAAAAAATATAATAGAACGGAAAATATAAACAAGAGCTGTCCGTAAGACAGCGCGCTCGACTTTTTTATTGCTTGCCAATAAAAAAAGTTTTTGCAGTAAAAGGCAATACAAGAATCTCTGTATTTTTAAAGTGAACAATGGCCATGAGCATTAAGATATTTAGTGAAGAATTATTTTACTGAATTGTGTGATACCCTTGAACACTGCAGCAAAGTTTGAAATGTTTAAGTCAAAAGAGTTAAGGGCCATAATTCAAATAAAATCTTTGACAGAATTACCTTCTCCTGGACATGTTTGGGAATCATGATTGTAAACAAGTATTCCAACTTTCAAATTAATATCTCAAACAGTTCAGTCAAAAAGTGGACTGGTACTAAAAACTTAACCAAGATTCTAAGTCGATAAAAGGCCTTAATTTTTAAAACAAATCCTTGACAGAGTTACCTTCTCTTGCGTACAGATGGGGGTAATGATGTGAAATAGCATTAAAAGTTTCAAAGCAATATCTCAAAGGGTTAAGGCAATAAGTGGATTTTACCCATATTCAATGTATTTTCTAAGTCAAAAAGGGGCATAATTCTGTCAAAAACCTTGACAGAGTTATGTCCTCTTGTCTGTTGATGAAGGTCGTGATGGTAAACAAGTATGGTCAGTTTCAAAGCAATACCTCCAATGGTTTTGAAATAAAGTGAGGTGGTACAAAAAACTTAACCAAGCTCAATACACTTTCTAAGTCAAAAAAGGGCCATAATTCTGTCAAAAACCTTGACAGAGTTATGTACTCTTGTCTGTAGATGGAGGTTATGATGGTGAACAAGTATGGTAAGTTTCAAAGCCATACTTGTAATACTTCTGAAATAAAGTGGGGTGGTACGAAAAACTTAACCAAGGTGTGACGCCGACGCCGACGCCGACGCCGGGGCGAGTAGGATAGCTCCCCTTTTCATAGAAAAGTCGAGCTAAAAATGCGTTATTTTCATTGCCTTAATGTCAGCTTATGTTTGCTGATGTCATGTGAGCTTTGTTGTTATATGAATTTTGGCCTACTTTCACTTTGGACAGACTTGGTGAAAACAAACATGGCTGACAAAGCAGAATCACCTTAAGGCAATGAAAATAACGCATTTTTTTTAGTTTCAGAGCGGGCACGACCACCACTGTCTATATGTATAAAGCCGGACGGACTGGCAGACTGACAGACAGACAGACGGACAGTTCGATTTTAATATGCCACCCTTCGGTTAATAATTGACACGATATTTATCCAGCAATTTTATCTTACTTTTGAAAAATAATTAAATATGTATAATCGTTTCTTGACAAAAAAAAAACGATAACAGTTTTTTTTCTGAAATATAAAAAAGGTGGAAATCAATTGAGTGTCCGCACTTCTTTGATGATTCGGCAGGTGTTTAAAAATCAGATTGACAGATTCTTACGAAGAGCTGACTAGTAATTTGTCAGAGGTCATCTCGTGTGTATTTTTTATATTATTTAACAATGATAACATTATATTTCATTTATTTATGGATGCTACTTTGTGCGAGTGTGTTTTTATGTATTTTAGCACTATGGAATTTCAACATTCCACGATGAATTTCGGTAACTTACAATTAAATGAGCCGCGTCATGACAAAACCAACATAATGGGTTTGTGACCAGCATGGATCCAGACCAGCCTGCGCATCAGCGCAGTCTGATCAGGATCCATGCTGTTCGCTATCAGTTTCTCTACTTGTTATACGGTTTGTAAACATAAAGCATAAAAACCATTTCAGTCTGGAACCTTACACTTTGAACCAAGGCGCGGCGGAAACTAGGAGACATGACATCTGACCTTAATGCACCACCGAAAAGCAATTTACCGATGCGCAGGGAATTCTACAAATGTGCTGACTCACAATTTTAACAAAACATAATATCACATGTGTCAAACATTTACATGATACACGTGATCACGTGTTATACCCATATACAATTACCGATTTCTGACTACATGTAATTAAAGGCGACATGGTACGTCCGTGCATTTATTTGGCATTGCGGCAAATGGATTCTAATATACAAACATAAAGTTAACACATGTTAAAGGCGTTTTCGAGAGTATCATTTTATTAGTAATAAACATTTTTGACAGGTTATATTATAAGTTATAAAGATTTTGAACAGGTTATATGATCTTATATAAACAAATTTATATTATAGCAAGCATTATTTTAGAGAAAAAAAGTGAATTTTCTTCATGTATTGACAGCAGCTATATATGTATATAAAACTGTATGTTTATCCAATTAAAAGTTCATTATTACTACATCCTACACATTTGTTCAATTATCATAAAGGTTGCAAGGATTAAATTTATGGATTAAAATTATGCAAAAATTTAAACGAACATATGTTGAAATGAATCGTATGATCTGTTAATTCAAGACAGGTCTTAAAATTGTGCAGGCTGGTTAAGGTCTAAACTGGCGACAAGAGCTTTTCACTTTCATGCCGTCTTAACGCTAGCATTTAAAGCGTCAATTACAAAACAGTGCATAAGACAGTACACCCTGAAGCGCATCAGCCTAGTCGTAACGCTGTTTGACTGCGAAGCAAAGGTCAGTTACACGCAATTTTAGTTAAAATCTATTAAATCTATTTAAAATACTTTTAGTTCATAGCCTGTCGAGTGATACTTTAAACGATTACCTTTGCATTGGTGCTTTAATTCTAGCCATGTTCAGAAACTGATAGGTATTTCAAGAAAGTTGCGCAACATGTTTGGAAGAATATGTGGCAAAGTCTATATCAATAGTATATGACATTGTAGTCTGACAAGGCTCTTTATTGTTTGTAGTTCAGATTTTGTATCAATATATTAAAATCCCTTTAAGTTCGAATTGACTGTTCCAGATTTAAATATGGACGAGTCCATTACATAAAATCAGCAGATTTAGCGTTCAAACACATAATAATACATGAAAACACATTCAATTTTCTGGAAAGTTTAATAACATACAATGTTGTAAAAGTTAACAAAATTTATGACAAAATAAATATAGTCCCAATACACAGTTTGATACAACAATTAAATAAAGTAGTTAACAACTAATGAAAGAGCACATGTGAACAATATAAATTAGTTATTAAGTTAAAGGTAATAGATTGACAAGGAAAACAGTTGTTTAGTTTGATAATGTTATTTGCTGATGTTCTTCCTGCAGCCTCAAAATCTTGATCCAAATATTGATAAAAACACTTAACTATGTGATAGGTAAAACTTAAGCTATCTATAGAAACACTGTGTAAATAAACTGATAATTAACAGATAAACTTCACTGATTGTATAGAAAATGTAACTATATAAATGTCTTTGTCTTATAACGTTCGCATCAAGGAAAATAAAAACTTACAAAAAAATGGACAAGACTTAATTAAAGCAAATATTTAGCACAAATAATCTGACTATGAAACCTCCGTAGGTCATAAGGAATATGATAAAGCTATAACATGAACACTGAAGTATGTCTAGGCTTCCTTACACAAAGCAAGCAACATCTTCTTATAGTCGCCACTACAATCACCCTTTATAAAACTTCCTAGTGTTTTACCGTATTTCTTCAGAAATTCCTCCTTTACTTGCACCAGATCTACCTGCAATCATTTAAAAGTGTCAAATATAAATACTGAAATGAAATTTTTATTTTAAGTTATTACAATGGTTTCTACACATAATCTAAGAAGTCTGTCGTTATTTTAATGGTGGAATTAACCTTAAGGATAAGAAAAAGACAGACAAGAAAACTTTGTTACTTTACCAACTTTAAACTAAGTCTAATATTTTGTGATGTACGAAACATTATAGCTAACAGCATTTATGAGAAATATTGCATTATATTGGAAACACAATCGTATGAGTCTGGATCCAATGTAGCTAAGTTACAAAAGATTCGACCATGAATTGTAAATTTCAGGACACAAGAACTTTAGTCGTTCAGTCTGTAAAATTACGTTGTAGAAAAACGTAATTAAACGGAAATGACCCGCTACTTTCATTGTATGCATTTGATTGTAACTTTTTATATTAGATTAGTTTGATATGTGCAAAGATACAATGTAAAGCCGTTAATATTGCCCACTAATAAACCATCAGTTGTTCGAGACAAACCAGTTTTCCCGTTTAATATTCAAAATTTAACATACATTTGAACAACCTTAAACATAACCAGTGTTAACCCATGTCAATACTTTTAACTTAAAATCGTATCGAATATTCATTTTTGGTACCTCTGAACGTGTTACAACACATCTGATCAGTACTGAATCTTTTGTTCCTGCACCTTTCATACTCTTGTACAACCTCTCTGCGAAATACCCTGTTTTACTTTTTGCAATCGAAACTGAAATTGAAGATGAATTTCATGCCAAATGGACAACTCTTCATCAATAATGGAAATCAATAATCGCCCAGTGATAAAATACCATTATCAGATGACTTTTAGAACACTGATGGGACATGCTTGTAAAATCATTTCCTAAAACTACCGAATAATTTGATTCATGGAATATGACATTTATATGTCACTGCAATATTATTCCATCACATCATTTCAACATATCTTTTTTCAAGCAAATGAATCCAATAAAAGAGCAAAATATGATATTGCAAGATGATCAGAAATATTAATAATAATGAATTTCCACTTATCATAATTGCATTGAAACAACATGAAGATAGGGGAATTTAATACTGAAATTTTATCCGTGCGTTTATTATAAGGGTAACATCTGCTCAACAGAGTTCAATTGTATCCATTGAGACGAGGGACTTTAGATTCTTTCAGGCATTCTTTCATGAAGCTGTACAGCTAGCTTACAGAACGTCGGTAGTTTTACTCAGATGGCCGTTCATATTCCTGAGATCTTCCCCCACTACTAGTAAAGCTGGACTGGAAAGTCGCCATATGACCTTTAAAGTGTTGGTTTGACGTACCCCTACCACAAAAATGCGTTTTTATCTAGAATGTATAATACCAATTGCAAGATATCCGTCCTCCAAATATCCACTGGTTTCCGCCTTTATGACAGCCTCAATTTCCTTCCCATATTGCCGTCTGTACGAGTCAAATGTTGCCACAAGCTGGGGGTAACTACGCAGGGATAAGATTCTGTTAAAAGTTGATTCATCAGTTCCAATCTTGTTAGCACCTGCCTGAAAATGAAAGAGCGTGTGTTTCTGTTTTATAATGGCCATCTATTGTTATTAAGCAACGCTATGTGAAAGTCTCTAATACGTTAACTTCATTATAAATGATAAAATACCGATCTACTCTAACGTGTAAGAAATTTACACGTATACATTTTCATTAAAAAGATAAACTTAAACTAAGTTTAAAGTTCTAATAAATGAACTGGTAAGATCAATATCTTTTTGTAAAACAAGTTAACAGGTGCAGTTTTTTAGAAACCATCAAGCCATCAAGCAAGGAGATTCACAATAAACCGGGAGATCTAAGAGATAAAAATGATGAAATTCGAGCAAGCTTTTGTCCTTGAAATGTGTATAATGACTATAATCATGTTATTCAATAGCCACCATAAATAACTGGCTAGCCCCCCTTGTTTTATTTTGAAAAGGTTTACAAACAAACACAAAGGTTTAAGGAAGAAAAGTATGGCAAAAACTCATAATATCTTACTAAATAACTAGATATCCAATGAGACGGGGCAATTATGAAAAATATGCTTTTAAGACAAGAAAAAATACAACACAGTAGATCATTGAACTTACGTGATTTTATTCTCACCATTGTTTAAACTAGAACTGCCACTATCATGGCTTGAATACCCCGCATACCACTTTGTCAGAATCAACAGTGGCCATTTAGAGCTCAAGGACAACCTCCCTGCCAAATCTGAGGTTACTAAGCCAGTGCATTGCTAAGTTATGTATTGTACATGCTTCAAATGTGAAATTGTCAAAATCAATACATTGCGGACAAGACATTCTTTAACAATTGAGAAGATTAGCTTTTATTTGTCAAGGTCCCTGTGACCTTGACCTTTGACCCAGTGACCTCAAAATCAATAGGGGTCACATTATAGTCATGATCAACATCCATGCCAAATATGAAGACTGTGGGTCAAAGGAATCTTAAGTTAATGGGTGGACAAACTTTTTGAAGTCAAAGTCCCTATGACCTTGACCTTTGACCCAGTGACCTCAAAATCAAAAGGGGTCATCTACTAATCATGATCAACATCCATGCCAAATATGAAGACTGTGGGTCAAAGGAATCTTAAGTTAATGGGTGGACAAACTTTTTGAAGTCAAAGTCCCTATGACCTTGACCTTTGACCCAGTGACCTCAAAATCAAAAGGGGTCATCTACTAATCATGATCAACATCCATGCCAAATATGAAGACTGTGGGTCAAAGGAATCTAAAGTTATTGGGCAGACAAACTTTTTGAAGTCAAAGTCCCTGTGACCTTGACCTTTGACCTGGTGACCTCAAAATCAATAGGGGTCATCTACTAATCATGACTAACTTCCATTCCAAATATGAAGACTGTGGGTCAAAGGAATCTTAAGTTATTGGGCGGACAAGCTTTTTGGAGTCAAGGCCCCTGTGACCTTGACCTTTGACCTGGTGACCTCAAAATCAATAGGGGTCATCTACTTATCATGACTAACTTCCATGCCAAATATGAAGACTATGGGTCAAAGGAATCTTAAGTTATAGGGCGGACAAGCTTTTTGAAGTCAAGGCCCCTGTGACCTTGACCTTTGACCTGGTGACCTCAAAGTCAATAGGGGTCATCTACTGATCATGACTAACCTCCATGCCAAAAATGAAGACTGTGGGTCAAAGGAATCTAAAGTTATTGGGCAGACAAACTTTTTGAAGTCAAAGTCCCTGTGACCTTGACCTTTGACCTGGTGACCTCAAAATCAATAGGGGTCATCTACTAATCATGACTAACTTCCATTCCAAATATGAAGACTGTGGGTCAAACGAATCTTAAGTTATTGGGCGGACAAGCTTTTTGGAGTCAAGGCCCCTGTGACCTTGACCTTTGACCTGGTGACCTCAAAATCAATAGGGGTCATCTACTTATCATGACTAACCTCCATGCCAAATATGAAGACTGTGGGTCAAAGGAATCTGAAGTTATAGGGCGGACAAACTTTTTGAAGTCAAAGTCCCTGTGACCTTGACCTTTGACCTGGTGACCTCAAAGTCAAAAGGGGTCATCTACTGATCATGACTAACCTCCATGCCAAATATGAAGACTGTGGGTCTAAGGAATCTTAAGTTATTGGGCGGACAAGAAAAAACCGACGGACAGCCGGACGGACGGCCGGACGGACGGACGGACGGACAAGCTGATTCAAGTATACCCCCCTTACAACTTTGTTGTGCGGGGGTATAAAAAGCACATAACTTTATCAATGATATGTTCTTGATATAATATACTTTACATGCCAAATATAAGTTGCAGTGTTTTGATATAAAATACTCACATGCCAAGTACATGCATAAATAAGATCACTGAAATCCTTTTATGGTTATACTGCAGAAAGCAATATTTGGGCAAAACTCACTCATTAACGATTTGATTGCAGCGAAAATTGAACTTGACCTGTGTTTTATATATCATACTTTTTTGCCAAATATAAACTCAATCACTGAAATCCTTCAAAAAAATATCCTGCGTAAACATCAATTTCACAGAAAATGTGCTAAACAGGGACATAACTCTCTCATTGAGAAAAGCAATCTTTAAAACAGACTAACACAATCACAACCACTGAAGTCCTGCAGAAACCAAAAATTTCCTAAAATGGAGCATAACTCTTAACATGTGATTAAATATATTTTAAATGCAAATTATTAATACAATAAATGGAATCCTTCTTAAGTTTCTTTCTGTGGAAAGGAATTATCTACGCACAGACAGACGCACAACTATGTAGCATAACATACATGAACATATTCTGTACAATAGATTTGCAGGAATAATCAAAATAGAACGAAAATTTATGATAAATACGCTTCAGTTACTTGTACAAACAAATCAGACTAGATATTGAAGATATTTGTATGACTTTAAAATAATCAGTCCAATAGTTTCTGAGAATACTGTTAAAGACAAAAAAATGAGCCGCGTCACGACAAAACCAACATATTGGGATTGCGACCAGCATTGATCCAGACCAGCCTGCAGTCTGATCAGGATCCATGCTGTTCGCTGTCAGTTTACCCAATTGTAATAGAGTTGATAAGCGAACAGCATGGATCCTGATCAGACTGTGCGGATGCGCGGGCTGGTCTGGGTCCATGTTGGTCGCAAACCCATTATGTTGGTTTTGTAATGAAGCGGCTCAAATCAGATGGTATATTGAACACATACATCAAAAAGTTCTTTTGCCTCAGCATCTGCCTTTGCTTGGTCCACGGTCAAATTTTCATCTCTGTTAGCTGACAGCTGTGATACTAGTAAACGTTTGAAGTGTCCGCTCGTATCGCTCATGATGTCTTTTTCAAGGTCACTTTTGAACACTTTAATAAGAAATATGCTTCTTAAAAAACATAGACTCAGAAATACCTTCGTTGCGCTTACTTTTAAATAACTTTACACAAATCATATAAAATAATAACAGCTGCAACGAACATATTCTGACTGACTACAATTAGTTACCTGGAACATTCGTACATATCTCAACATTCAAATATTAAGTTTCAATATAAAACTACTTAATGGCGCATTTAATGTTAATATATCAATGTCAAATTTGAGTCTACTCTCGTAAACATTTATCTGTTTTAGCTGTTTTGTCTTATTTGATTTTATTAAAAACATCAGAAGAGCTACTAAAGGAACTTGGGTTGGTAAATAACTCACATTTTTTATATGCTGCTTTGATTTCTGAAATTTCCGCATTTGATCTTGAGCAAAGAATTTCTATAAGTGTACCTTCGTCTGTACCTAAACCCTAAATACAAAATACGAACATACAAATATAAAATATGTAACAAAATATTAATTTAAAATTCAACAAGAAATGATTATCACTTTATATTAGTATTAAAGCTGCACGCCTCTAGATGAGTATAAATATTTCGATAAAATCAAACCTGGAAAAATGTACTAAGATTTGAGGAAAAGTATAACGATTCAAATTCTAGTAACAATTTACAAGTTATGTGCGATTAATGACCGACATTTTAGTATTTATAACTATATTTATACTGAGTTACTAACGCAGTAAGGGCTATTTTTGCATATTTTGACCTCTTTAAGGTAATTTACACGAGTTGTAAGTGCCATTGATAATGTGTATATTGCATTCTTTAGGAAACTTCACAATATTATCCTGTTAAAAACATTTTAAAATTTTCATAGAAATTACCATGAATCTGAAGGCGTGCTGCTTTAAGTTATCGTATTTCACGTTTTAGAAGCAAACATGCAGTTTTTCTCAAACACCGCTTCAAATATTCGTGAGATGTTTAAAATTCGGCTGTTTAAGAAAAAACCCAGCTATATTTAAGTTAATAATAATCTGTAGCTCAGTCAATACTTAACATCCCATATGTATCTTAACTTTAAAAGAGACTCAAAGGTGAATTGCATGTAATCTTATTTTTATCATTTATGTAAACAAAATATTTCAAAAGATCTTTCGACAAGAAACTTGATTTAAGAAACTGATTTTATTAGCCTCTATTACAATAGTTTCTTTGCATATTTTGTAATCAGAAGGTATATGTCATGTTATGTTTGATTTAATATCAAATGGTGCATGAAACTGTTTAGTGGTTCTCCAAAATTTTTCGGTTAAAATAAAAATAAAGATCAAATGTCAAGTACCCCGTCAAGCGAGTACGAGGTTAAACGTGATATCCTTATGTATACCGGATATAAAATATTCATAAATTTCATCTGATACAATATATATGAGGTTTGTTAATCTATCTTGCAAGTCAGATGTGTTTATCGGACCTTGATGAATCGTTACCTTGACTGCTTTTTTAAGTTCCATTGCGTCGTAATTAGTTGGAGTTTCTAGCAGTGCGATCACAACATCCTCGAACTTGCCACCTAATTCAGATTTCAGTTCTGCCTTTAATTCCTAATAAAACAGGAAAGCGTATTTAAGCGTCTTTCAACTTCATACGTTTTTACTTCAACATATTGATTGTAATCTACTTAAAGGCCCATTTTGACCCAGAAATGCTTTTTTTCATGTGTTCAAATGCTTTTAATTTCTTGGATACATGTACTTGTATAACTTCCAAAACGTTACTCATTTGTCAATTATCTTAACCATCTTTTCCTTCTATTGTTTGTTGATAAATTAGTACATTAATAGTGATGCAGTCTTTTGTATGGAAGTCAAAATACTTCTTTGTCTACATTCTGCTACTTTAGATTTTTTCCATAATTAGCGTTAATTTCTTCAAATAACAAGCATCAAACATCTAAAACCATAATCAAAACGTTATTAAATTAATATCGCCCTTTCAAAAGAAGTAAAAAATTAATTGTTTCTGTGGCATAATGTACCTTTAAGCGTGCAGTTACGACGGAGAATGTGTCATTTTCATTACCAGTATTTAACATCTTATTTGATCTCTCCTCTACATTTAGCGACTCTCAATATATAACGAAACACAAGCAAAGTAATAGGGCAATACAGTAAGTAAAGTTATGTCTAATATAAAATTATTAATCATCTCTACATCAATCAATACAACGTGAGTACATATGGAATATATATCTTTCTACCTCCAGATAATGTCCAATCCCTTGAGGGACAATACTATTGTCTTTCAATATCACACTTAAAGCATTGAGCTCTAAATATTTGGGAAACGTGTGACCATTGAGACGATAACAATCAAATAACAATTGAAAATAGAACAGGATTTCCACAAGTTTTGACACAATTTAAAGTAAACAGGACGTATACCTTTCCGTATTGTGTTTTAAATGTGAGCGCAATCTCTTGCCTTTGCTTATTGGTATGCTTAGCCAGCACGTCAATTATTTTTGCTTCGTCTGTTCCTGTAACAGTAAAATAAGAATTTCTATATTGAATAATTTTAGTTCAAACACTTCATCGATCCAACAATGACCAATGTTTGACTTGAAACTAGAAAGATAAGGTGTCCTGAAAAAATGTGCAACTATTGGCTTGTGTGAATGCAAAAGCTTTAATTACAATATTTTCACATGGTAAATTCTCTTGAGACTTGCAAAGATTGTCGCTCTGTCCCACACACTAGTACATACTTTCAGCCATTCCAAAGAGATTTACATGTCTTATCTGTAATCATACTAGGCAACTAAGGTGGGGTAGGTGGGATCTTTAATATTAGAATGTATAAAAACTAGCCATTTTAGCAATACACGTGGCAAGGTCTCTCAATCGAATAAATATGAAGTAGCAAAAACTTAAATAACAGGCATGGTTGGTGAATATTACCTTGCCAATCCTGTATCTGGAAAGTCTAAATTAGCGACTGAAAAGGCGGGCATTGTCTTGATATCGAGGCAGGACTTACTTTTCTTGGACATATGTTACATTGAACTGAAAACAAAACAAAAATAAAATATCAACTATACCTAGCCCTTTCATTGCCTTCCTCAGCTCGGCTGCAGCTTGTTCAGCTGAGAATGGCTGACATTCTACAACGGTTCCCTGAAACTAAAAAGTTAACAAAACATTAAAATGACTATTACCTTAAGGCTAATGGTTTACAGTTTATGAATCCTCTACTGTTTAAATGTTGTTAAATTTCAAACTATTACACACGTGTGCACAAAAAAGGTTTTCATCTCCACTTCCTTGTGAAAATGAAAAGTGTACATATTCATTACAAGGAATTGGATAACAAGCTTGGTGATAAAAAAATGAAGAGAAAAGCAGGAAATACTAATGAGTTCAAAAACGCTCATAAGAAATACACACGTAGGATATGCCCCCTTCTCATAAAAAAAAACTATTCAATATTGACATACTCGTATTTCATATATAATTATTAAACATATGTTCTTTTTTTGCTCTACTTATCAATAGTGTTCATACTACTATACTTTATGGCAGTCGTATATTTCAACAAGTACAGGCCTTTTTAACAATACGATAACCCTACATCACCAAGACCTTAGAATCTATTTTTTTGTGAAGGGAAGAATCCATTTTATCAGTAACCATTTTGATCTTATTCAAACGATACAATAACAGTTGATGAACTATATTTTGAAAATTTTCGAAAAATCTTTATTTATGCATTTTTGTATTATAATAGATTCTGACGTAAGAAATTCCATTTGATAATGCATTAATATCAGATATGACAAATGTTGCATGATCTCCATCTGATGGAAAGGCCTTGACCACAAAAGTAAGAATAAAGTCATACACAGAGCAGACTAACTTAACCTACTATAAGGCTAAGAAACATTAACATGTTTATTTGTTTGCTTAATTGGGTTTTACGTCACACTGACACATAAATAGAGGATATTGAATGAGTGTAAGTTCAATACTGAATTTATTGCACGAGTTGAATAAAATTATATTATGCGAGCCTCTGGCGAGCATAATATTATTTGATCCAACGAGTGCAATAAATTTAGTAATGAACTTACACGAATTTAATATTCTATTTATCACATACCCAAAATAAAGACCGTTTAAAGTGAAATAAGAGTCATTTTTCATTGACGCGCCTATAGTATAACGCTAACATTTAGCGCGTCTTTACACTATGTTTGTATAACGCTAATGACGTCACGTCAAAATATATGCACGGCCGTGCAATACCATATTTACGGAGTCGCAAAATCGGCATGGGTGTGTAATAATAGACCATATGGCGACGTTCCAGCTTTACTGGTGGAGGAAGACCTTAGGTGCCCCTCCGTGCATTATTATAGGCACGAACAGGCACCTGAGTAGAACCATCGACGTTCAGTAAGCTAAGGAACGAAAATGCTGCTATACTAAGCTATTGACTTAGTTTATTCCAATAAATCGTGTAAAAATCCACCTAGTAAAAAAAATTTGTTGATATAAAAGTAAACATTTTAGTACAAGAGAATATAAAAGAAGTACATTATTTATATGATTACAGTTAACCGAAAGTACAAAATGTATGCCTGAAAAATTGGATTTGATTATCATTGTACATCAGTAATTGGAGTTTTAAAATTGAAAATGGTTGTCAATCATATTTTCAAACTATACATTTTCCATCCATTCGTTTAAGTTATAATTCTCTTTAATCATGCAAAGTTTAAGAAAATTATTTGCGCCTAGTTTAAATGTTCATACAAAAATATACCAACTCCAGGAAACGTCTTTGAACGAACGATTCCGGGGGCAGAAGAGTTACTTATTATAGTGACAATATAGAGAAAATTGCATGACTTTGGTTAATTTTAGGGTTTCTTTTACGCAGTTGTTGAGAAAGTTATACGAAAATTTAAAGAATGTCATATGATCTCATATCCTTATGGCAGATCATGCATTCTGCAACCTATCTGATATTGATGCATTATCAAGGAAAACCAAGACCACTGTCGTATGCCTACCTGGTTTACTTCTTTAAAAATAATTACTCACTCACATTCAAGATTATTTACAGTGGTCAGACAGATGTTTTTTTACATATCTTTATTAACTTGTAAACTACCGTGTTTAAATAGATTGATAAAATTCGGCACGTACACCGCCTATTAATCATACTATATATCCTGATATATCCATATTTATACACTTGCACCATGAGTTTTTTGCACATTCTAACATTTACCTAATATAATTCCGTATTCTACAATACATTTTATAATAATTTAAATCTTACCTTTACGGCGGCCATTTTATATTCCGTATGTATAAGCTGTATTTAATGTAATATAAATATTAAACTTTCTGTGTACATATGCTTCAGCAAGAAATGATACATGTAATGTGTATCGAGCCGACTTGCTGTGAAATGGTTTATATTTAGACTGAATCATCAATCGGCTATGTCCACTATTTCCGCTGTTATATATAGTAATACATGTACACAAATTATTGATCGACTGTTATCTGAAAACTACAATGGGTATAATTAAGGGGCGTATCAGTAGCTTTAACAACAATAAGTTCAATTAGTTAACTTTGTTGTTTGTTTCATACCATCTTTTAACGTAATTTTGCTGCAACTTCTTTATTTCACTAATTAATACATTTCATGGCAGCTTTATTCCCTTTAAGAGTAATCAATTCCCTTCCGTATTGGAATTTGATGAAAAAATGTTGGTGTTATGGAATTCAAATTTAGATAAGTGCTGAGAGGCGAGTTGTATACCTTTACCAAATAATTATATGTATGTATCATTTTTTGCGGGGTATGAAGGAAATAGAATGAAAAGCATGAAAAGCATATATAAAAAATTAAAACATATTCCAAACGAAAAATACTGCAGTAGAGGTAGGGGATGGGGTTATAGAGTGAGTAAAGGGGGTGGGGTTATAGAGTGAGTAAAGGGGGTGGGGTGGGGGTAGTTGCCAATCAACGCGCCGAACATATGTGGGTTAAGATATCAATAATTTAAAAAAGTAGATAAAACATATAAAATTACATATCAGAATCTGCGTGTGTACATGTGTATGTGTGTGTTGTTGGTTTTCTTTTACTTTGAAATCATTCATGTGAGATATACGGAACGTCGCTGGTTCTACTTAGGCGCCCGTTCGTGCACGGAGGGACACCTTAGACCTTCTTCCACAAGTAAATCCGGAAAGTCACCGGATGTTCTTTAAAGTGCCGGTGTGACTGAAAGTCAACCAAACAGAATATAGAAATGAAAGTGACAAGTGTCGACTTCATCTAATTCAATTTCTTGTATTAGAAAATTGCCTTGACAATATTCAAGTTCGATGAAAAGTTTTGTCTATAAATTTACTTCATTATAGCAGGTGTCAAGTTAAGTGACGTGTGGCTGAACACTGTTTAATGTTGCCTCATACTTCACATCAGCATTATTTTTTTTCTGGTCCTCTGGAATCATTCCGAGCCAGTTCTAGAGGGGGCGGGGTGGGGCATGTTTCACTTTTACATTATCTCTCATGAACAGACTCATTCAAACAGCTCCTGCAATTTTCATATTGTATTGTTGTTTTCATTGCTTCAGAGGCAAGGGGCAGGACGTGAGGTGCTTGCACACTTAGTTCAAGCGAGACAAATGCTTGCAACCTTAATTGAACAAAATGGGTACCGAGACATGAATGTTTACAACACTCGCACGTATTTTCTTCAGGTAATTGGGTTTACAAATTATATGTTTTTTTTTAAATTTTTTAATATGCCCATGACTCAAGTAATGTTTATGACACACTTGGATTTAGGTTTCAGCTTCCCGTCTTCTGATTTGACGAACTTCTTGAAGTTATAAACTGCATTATTGTACATATTTTGAGATCTGGCAATTGAGAATCAAGAGCAATATTTATGCTCATTTATTCGCATCTGTAAGTTGTTTTTTTTAATTTCATCAAACAAGACAAAATATATTTCTGTCAATCTTGTGAAAATGTTTTAATTTGCATGTTCTAAATAAAGTTTCAATACACAAAAATATTTTGTTCAAGCGTATTTGGTTGCAAACTTATTTGGAATCTTATAACCAATGCCAAAATATAATCTTCGGTGAATGGAAGGAGTGTTGTTTCCAAAATTGATACGTTAATTGTACCGATGTAAATGAAATGTCCTTTAGACGATATAAATAGGGGGCTTAATAAATAAATGGGAATGAAGTACGGTCAAGATAAACCACGAAGTTACATTATATTGCATGTAAATTTCTAAATAAATGAACAAGACAAAAATGCAAACATGCATCGTGCACCTTAAGATTCATATTATTATCACTTTATTCTATACACGTTATCTCGTGCAGACACATTTTGATATTATCCAGTTTGCTTGAAATAATGCTGGAGTTTGTACAAAAGATATTTAATTAGAAATTCATTTTGGAATTATGTTGCTAAATATACATCTTTGTTGGAATTGATCAGTATCTTATTATGAAAATGCAAACTAGTCACTAGTCATAAATTACATACAATTTATTAAAGAGAATAAAAGGTCGCTACTTAACATGTCACCTGGTTTATTTCTATATATTTTATCCCAAGAAAGTCACAGTGGTGTTGTGATAGTTGCCTTCTATCTGTAATTAGTTGGGGCAGAAATATTATTAATATATAAATATCGAAAGTAAGTTGTGGTATTCAACCTTGGGTTTGAATTTATTTGAGTACGAATAAAACAAGCGCCTCTATGAGTATGATCTAAATGATCACAGCGGACATTTTGATTATCAAAAATTAACAAAATGCTCAGCAAATTGCCTACAAGCAAGTTAAAATCAAGTTTGAAAAACAGATTTGATTCTGCATCACTCCCAAAAATGCATTCAATGGTAAATATAATCTACTCAATTTATAAGGGTTTGAAAATTTGTTTAATTTATCAACATTTCCTCCTTATCATGAATTTTACACCATCATCAAGACATCATCATGGCAATAAATTTGTTTTGTGTACTTTTTATTGTTTTATATAGCGATTTACACTTTTTTTAAACTTTTATTTTAAAGAAACAAGGACACGTGTTGCATCTAGAATTTCAAAATTATGATGAATTGTCCCCCATAACTGAAAAATGTTGCGAGGATTTGAAAAAAAAAATACCTGTGGGGACATGGGCATTGAAAGCCTAAGACAGAATTGGTTGACTTTTTCGAAACCGAGCAACACCTTTGCCGGTACGTTAAGGATTAGAAAACTCTGGGGAATTACACCAAATGAACGTACATTACACTGTTACCTGGTCTACATATTTAATCTTTCTATTTCATTATCCATTATACACTAAAAAAAACGTTATATAAATATATTTCAATTTCCTAAATATATAATCTAATCATTCTTTTTGTATATATTATTCATACAATGCTATTTAATTATTTTCATAGAAAGAAAAAACTGTTTTTATTTCTCTTAGATTTAAAAAAAGTCCAAAAACATAGTGTTCGTTATTACACGCCATTAGATGAATTCCCCAGAGGTATGTACAGAAAGTACAGGAAAATGTCATTGAGCATGTTTTCCAAATCTGATATAACTAAAATAATAAGATATTATATGTCTTTAAGCATTTTTACAGCAATCGTCTGTGTCCAACAATACGATATAAAGAAACAAAATATTATATACTAGCAGGTGTCCATTGACCCTTGAAATTGACCATTGACCTTTTCAAATCCAATAATGTCTGATTGACCCTTCATAACAGGGTTAATTAAAATTCATGGGTCCTTATCCCATATTTAGTCAATATGGTGCCCCGAGATGACCGTGACTAGTGGCAGATCAAACCGTTAATACACAGGCAAGATGATTCGACTGGCTGCTACAAAAGATGTAGTACGTATTTGACTTTGAGTCATTACCACGTGTAAAAACAAACATTGCAGAAGCGTTCAAAGTATGATGAAGATTAACTAAATTCAGTTGAAAAGTCACTTCATTAATAAAATGCGAGATCTGCAAAAAAAATGCACAATCACTCAGCCTACATGCAACACTGGGACATGGTCCCATGCGTATTTTTCAAAATTTTAACAAGGTCACTTCATTGGCACTTCATCTGCATCAGTTTGTCACTTTGAGAAAAACAATAGTGACCAAAAACAAAGGTCAATTAACATTAAGAAAGCAATTACATATATTGAGCAATTAGCGATCAAATGTGTCAGCAACTGCCTCCGTGGTCGAGGGGTTAGAGTCAATGACTTCTAATCCAGTTACCTCTCTGGCGTGGGTTTGATTCATGGGAGATGTTTTGGTAGTTTATCGCGGAGGAAGGTAGTCTAGCACTGGTATAACTCTCCAGGAACGATGGTTAGGAAACTACCCTCCTATATGACTGAAATACTGTTGGGAAAAGGCGTAAAATAAACAAAGTTAAACAAACAAAACGTGTCAGCCTTGTTTTGTTAGTGCTCCAGGCTAAGTTGTCCTTAAGGTGATGAAATGTCATAATAAAACAATTTTATTGAGTGATTTATCATTAGCACAAAGGGAGCATCTCATTTCTTGCAGTGTTATTCGGTGTTTGTGAGAAATACCCTGTGTGACTTTTGAAAACGAAATTTAAAATGTAGTACATATTAATAAAAAGTTTAAAACACACGCGGTTGGAGGTAGTATGTTTTCATATGTTTTGTTTAAATTCTATGAAAGCTACATGTATATTTAAATAAAACAAAAATTTCCGAGTGCAAAGAGTTACCTCCCATTATATACTCTCCTAAAAGGATGTTCGCGAAAGTAGAAGTAAATGATGCTCGACGGTATAGGATTTCTCAATTTGCTCTGTCCCGGTTATAATGAGGAATCATACAAAGTCCTGACGATCTTGTTGTATCCGGAGTGCACTGAGCTATTATCTATAAAATCTTTTTTTGTCCAATCAAGCATTTATGGTCTAACCCTTATGCCATTTGTCTTGTCTTGAACAATGCTGAAAGGGTATTTTTTGTAATCAACTAATCTTTGTAATTTCTTTGGCTCTAAATTGGTCATTTAAAGATCCTGTATGTTGTGATTACCTCCCTTTATTTACATGAAATGTTAAATTCAGTAATAGTTTTGTAACTTATGCTTTTTGGAACTTTCAAAATTAATCAATCTAAATTTAAGCATCATGTATGATATAAAACCATGAAAAATTTGTGTTACAGGATCTTTAAATGAGTCATGCTGTTAAGAATAGTTGAAGCAATGTATCTAATTCTATTTATTCATCAATAGGCAGAATAAATGTATAAACTAATTTTATATTTGTAGGCTTGGTTGAACTATCAGATGTTTCTAAAGAGATTGGGAAGACTAGCTGCAGACAATGCCAAACAAGACAAATCTTCTGTGATTAGAGACAGTCATGTTCGAGATGCTGCAAAGGTAAACTG